TCATAAAAGTAACTTAATAGCTTTGAACAGTCTAAAATGGAAGGTTCAATGTCTCCATCTAAATATTTACACTGCATACATCCTCACAGAAGCCAGACTTTATCCAGCAGTTTCTGGTCCATCTTGTTGAAAGCTGGCATGGGGGAAGTGGCTGTAATATCCTTGGGCCAATATCCTTGAGCCAATTATGAAACCTGCATGGTGAAAGAAAGATTCTGTCCAAGAATCTTTATGGCCTGTTTTACTAATTCAGTTTCACAGAAGCAAATAAATATGGGACTAAAGTATATTAACTTTAAAAAAAAAAACAATTACAAGAAGAAAAGTAAATTGGGTCATACTTATTCTGGTTCTCTATAAAATATTTTAGGACAGAAGCAATATCTAGTATATTAATAATAATGAAAAGTAATAATAAACATCCTAGTAATAATAAACATCATAAATGCTAGGTCTTTTTGAGAAGATCTCCATCTGGAAGTCTTCTTGCAAATCACTCCCCTAAGGAGATAAGCTTTTCCCTGCCACAAAGGGCTAAGCCCTGCAAGCTCCGGCTGCGGCAGCTGGTGCCTGCAGAGAGAAGGTGCAGAGGCCTGCCTCCCAGGGCACAGGAAGGGATGCAAACAGCCGAGTGCCCCTCACTCTCTCTCATTAAAAAACACCATATGCCCAGGGTATGCTCACCAAGGTGTTTTTCACTACAGGTTGGGCTGCTTAGCTCATCTGCTTACAGACAGAATTCTCTTTAGCATGCTTATTAAAAGTGCAAGCTTATGCTCATACTGATGTTGCAGTTCTAGCGTAGGGGCCAAACAGAAATCTGCATTTTCAGTCAGCACTCCAGGTGACTATGAGGTTCCCCGTGCTGAGGCAATGCTTTGGGAACCACTGGCTTCAACCAGTATTTCTCAAACTGGGATCACTGGATGCCCTATTGAAAGTTCCAAATAGCTTTTTTTTTTTAACATTTTGCACTTTGTTTTTGATAATTTTTCAAATATTAAGAGCATCCTGGATAATGTGGATAATTTTATAGCCAAATACTATGGCAACACTTCCACTGAAGTTTTACAATCAGGTTCTACTTTTAACTTGGTCTCAGGCCACTGAGTCTTTACTCAGTCTTTACTCAGATCCAGATCTGATCTAAATATCCACAACAGAGTGAAGCCTGAATGATATCCCTTCATTCACTCAGGAAGGGAATAGAAGAAGGAAAGGAGCAGATTTTGACAAAGGACATCAATGTACTAAATGGGAGGTGGAGGGGGGTAGTTTATAGGATGTTCACTAAAAAGTGAGGAAATGGAAAAGCCCAGAATGAAAGACTTCTCCAAAGCCTGGGAGGTGCTACACATGAGGCAGTGGCTGAACATCTGTGTGGATGAGAGCAAGGAAATGAGGCACGAAGGAAGACGGGGAAAGAACTCAAGTCAAAGGAATCGGAAGGAAGGTAGCAAAAGAGACTGGGGAAAAGGTCAGAGACTGAGGGGATAACCAAGAAGGAGAAACATTAGGGAAGTAAAGGAGGACAAGTTCTGAGACGAGAACAGTCTTCATGTGAGCTGGTGGTGTCCTGATTTTACTGCTAAAAGAAGTAAGTTAAAATAGTCTGTCCAATATGATATCACTTGTGCAACAAAAGACTGTGTATACCGAAATACACAAAGAAAATTTCTGAAAGCAGTAAGAACCACAAAAACAGAAGCCTGCAGTTATCTCTCAGACTTAGAAATGTAATACAGGATCAGGAGAATGTAAACTTCTTATTTTGCACCATTCTTATGTTATATTTATTTTGAACTAACGCTTTAAGGACTGTTCAGCAGTACAACATTAAAGTACCCAGGAGAACAAGAAAGATGCGACTAAAAAGAGGTCTTTTGGGGAGATAAGAAGGTTGTTGTTGGTGACCTTCTTCAGAACAGTTTCAGGTCGAAATGTTAATACTGACTTCCATGGTCTAAAATATTGCTTCTCAAGCTTTAGCGTGACTAGGAATCACTTGGACATCTTGGTAAAATGCAGATTCTAACCAGTAGGTAGTTCTGGGAAGGAGCTTGACATTTCTAACAGGTTCCCACGTGACATCCCAGTGGCTGGTCTGACACTATGTTTTTGAACTGTAAGGAAAAGTAATCAGAATACTGGGAATGGAGGTGAGTACCCAGAGACCACTATTTTTCAAAGAATGCTCTGTAGGCAATGAACCCTACACCACACTCTAATAAAAGATTCTGAAATCAAATAGGTGGAAATATACTGCATATCCACCCTGATGAGTCACATTGGGTATTAATGTTTTATTCAGAATTTTTCACTTGTTTTCAACTAAGACATTCCTAAAAGGGTCAACCTTGCAACAGTGAAAATTTATCTACCCTGTCATGTTCTTAAGAGGCCATCCCTGAGGGTGTGGGGAAGCAGTAAAACAGGGGAGCAGGAGCTCAGGGGGTGCACAGAGAAGGGAAACTGGAATATGATGAACCACATCTGGTCTTCAATGCAATAGCAGTGGAGGTCTCCAAAAGGTAAGAAAGCTCTATAAATAGACCTTGTCAGGACAAGCACATGCCAGTAAATAAAGCCCAACGTTCCTTGACAGTATGTGCTATGATGTCGTCATATATTTGCCAAACCTCATTCTAAATATTTCTGGACCTTTCCAAAACTTAGCCCAGCACCAGCATTAGCAGGATAACTTCAAAGCCAGTGAGAAGAGCATACTTGTGAATATATGAACCTGAATCTACTTACATTGCCAGAGGCTTGAGGAAACCACAGAAGCTGACCTGATCCCACTGCTGTGGGGAGTCGCACTTGACTTGAGCGCAACCCTCCTGTCCACAGACAGTGATTAAGAACAGCCTGGGGGAGGCTGCTCCTCCCACCTGCTGAGGTGGAGCAGGTGAGGCCAGAAGAACCCCAGGGCTCCAATAACCTGCTGGCAGCACTGAGTCGTCTGCGCAGCACCGCCAGTGCTCGGCTGCCTCAGAACAACCTTTCAGACTCTCTTCACGGATAATGAAGCTGAGAGCGCCGAGTTTCAAAGGGAGACTGGATTTCAAAGGATCTCTCAGTGTGGAGGAGAGCAGAGGCTGTTCACGGTGGTATGCCTTAATCGTTTGAAAAGACTGCCACTTTCTCCTTTCTAATGTCTGACGCGGCAGCAGAGGGCTGCCACATGGGGCAGTTTGCACAGGGGTTAGAGTGGTACCAGGATCAGCCGCAAAATACGCTCTGAAGCCTTTGCGTTCACCGCGGTACTTCTCCACCGCATTAGCTCTTTACTGGACACTTGGTCGCTCAGTCAACCCCTGCTGCCATACTTGTCTCTCAAATATACTAATGAGGGGAATGGGCCTGCACAATACCATTCTCTCTTTATTAGACTTCAGATTTCCTTACTTTGAGGATAAATATACTCGAGCAGCGCTGTGCACATGCGACCATTTCACTATGGGGATGCTAATTAGGGGATAAAATGGAAACACACACCTGTTACAGTACAGTGATATGAACCCATACTCTAAATGACTCAAGTGCTCCTGCTTCAAGCTCCCTGAAAGCTGCAGGGCCCTGTCCCACCACAGTCAGACTGGTGGCAAAAGAATCCAAATTAGTTCTAATATTCACGCAACAAATACACATTTCCACTACTAAGCCTGTCACAGAAAAGCCTCCCTATTGCACACACTAAATACACTTTAAACTCTGAGGGATGAGTTATTTGGGATATCAGGAGTCAATTATGTCAGCCCCCACGTGATGCCATGTGTCTAGGCCACCAGTAACCATGCAGCAGGGCTACCTTTTCATTACATTCCTCCTGTTTCCCCCTTTGCAATGTGTTCATTTTAAAGAATTTAGAAGCATGCTTCCGATCTATAATGAGAAAGATTTTGTCCTCTATTTTTATATGAGGCACTTTAATTGCTACTAACATCACTGAAGTTAGCATATAAACAGGAAGGAGGGTGTTACCCTCAGAATCATTTATCCCTAAAAAGAAAAATACTTCTTAAAAAAACCCCCACAAACATACACACACAAAGCAGAGGAGATGGGCGAGAGGGGACCTGGAATAGAGTTTAGAGTTTGTTTTCAAGTTCCACCTGGAGGTTCTTCTACCCAGGATCTGGGGAGAGATTGTGTACCTTCAATGTAGCCCCATTAACTAGACTGTGCAGTGCCTAATTTATCACTGCTCACCTGACTTTAATTCCCTCCTGAATTCCGTAACACAGCTGCAACCCCGTGTGGAGAATGACTTGGGGGTAAGAATGCCCAAAAGACAAAGTAATGACTCCCATTTTTTCTGAATTTGAAGACTTCTTTCAATTTAAGATCTCTCACAGGAAAAATCTAGTGGCCAGATTAAAATCATTCTAAGTAAAAAGTGACTTTAAAATTAGTCACCTTAGGTCTTACTGAGGGACAAGAGAAACTCTGTTGTTGTGGTTGTTTTGTTTGTTTTTGGTAAGAGAAAGGATGACGCTGAGATCTTCTTGGTCCATTTAAGAAGCACGTTTGGTTGGCAAAATGGAAGTGCTAATGGTAGGTTTCAGCACCTAGAGGGACTGTAAGCCCACCCCATCCCTGAGGGAGTGGGAAGCTGGAAATGAGCCTTAGACAATTACAAACCCCATCTCATCCCAAGTGAGGAAATCCAGTCCTGGAATCAAAGGAGGGACACATTCACTCCATTCTGGAGATCCTGGAGTGTCCACAAAACCGTTTATTATTGGAGATGCTAGGGTTCAGCCAGCCAGCCAAAGCTCACAGCACACGGTTTTGCCATGGAAGTCCCAGCTGAGAATTGGAATCCTCTTTTCTCCTCCCAACTCTCTTTGGAATTGTTCTTGGCTAACTGTTCCACCAATTAGGACCTGACTACAGGGCTGAGCCAGACCAATGCCCCTCTGTTGAGTATCTCAGCGCACCCAGGGGGAGAAATGTAAGCAGACAACCTACTTTAATCAAGAACGCTGTCACTTTACCTTTTTGCTTATTGAGAAACAGCAGAGGGGGCATGACGCCGGGACCCCGAAGCCCGGGGGCCTTTGTGGCCTTGGAGCTTTGGTCGGAACTCGCTGCTTCCACGGTTGTTCGTGGCGCGGTGGGCCCCTCGGGGGTGGGGGCTAGGTCTCCGGAGGGCAGCTCCGGGCTGGCTCGCGGGGCAGCTGAGGGGAAACTGCGGAAGGGCTCCTGCTCTGCCAGGCCCCGCTGGCTGGGGGTGCGCTCCTCGGCCCGGGCGCCCGGCTCCTCCCGGATGGCGTCCAGGGCACCCGGCTTCATCGGTGGCGAGTCCTGCTCCCGTTTGGGGCTCTCCTCTGAGGCGGAGGAGGCGTCGCATGACTCGATGATGAGCTCGCTGTCCAGCTCGGCCTCACGCTCCTCCCTCAGGAGGCTGTACTGGATCGACGGCGAGGCCGGCGACGGCGGCGGGCCACCCACGTGACCAAAGGTCACGTAACCCGAGGGCAGCGTGTCCTCAGCGGCCAGCGGGTCCTCGGACACCAGCTCGATCTCCGAGTCCCCCGACTCCGCGCTGCTGGCCTCGTGGTCCAGGGGACTGGGGATGGCGGGCAGCCCAGACCTGGCCTTGGCCTCGGGCCTGTCGACCCCCTGGCCCGCTGGCCGCGGGCTCTCCGTCGTCTCGTAGGATAACCCCTTTGCTTCCTTAATGGCGGTGATGAGCTCATCCTCGGAGATGCCGCATTTCCCCTGGGATTCTGCGGCAGACGGTTCTGTCGTCCCACAGAGAGAAGAAGCGCCAAAGAGGCACACACAAGGACAGACAGAGGGACAGGGAGAGAAGAAATAAAATTCCATTAGGGGAGATATTTTCTCCTTGCTTAAAAAACACATATCTTATTAGCCCCCCAAATAGTCTGTTTCCAGGGCTATGCTAGAAAGGCCACCTGAACTAAAAGGCTAATGACTGCTATACCTATATCTTAATTTATACCTATATATCTTAATTTAGTTATTTTTAAAAATGACGCAGCAATTTCTTAGCAGTAGTACCTGGCTGATTTTTCTGTTTCAATGTGGGAAACTTTCTAGAAGTCATGGTTTTAATTTCTAATCCGCCTCTCAGGGAAGTTTTCCAGTATCACAGATTTCATCAGATAATCTGATGTATGCTTGCGTGCTAAGTCACTTCAGTCGTGTGCAGTCTTTGCGACCCTATGGACTGTCACCTACCTGCCAGGCTCCTCTGTCCATGGGATTCTCCAGGCAAGAATACTGGAGTGGGTGGCCAGGCCCTCCTTCGGGGATCTTCCCGACCCAGAGCTCAAGCCCATGTCTCTTAACGTCTCCTGCGTTGGTAGGCCTGTTCTTCACCACTAGTGCCACCTGGGAAGCCCCAATCCGATATACATAACTCTCTAATTTGGCCCACCAGTGTCAACAAATCTGTAATAACTCCTTGTTCATGAACCCCTGTCCATGTTCCCTGCTTCAGTAAGACAAAGAAAGCTAATTTGGATCCTTATGTACAGCATGCTTTCCAACCTCCACATTTTCCATAAGAATCAATACATTTATTCTTTTTTAGTGAAAAGTGTAACAAAGTGAAGCAATATAAGGAATAATTTTTTGCCAGTTCCACTAAGCAGGCTGTGCAGACTACCATACTGTGCAATCCCGCAAGGTATTCTAATGGTAGAGGCTTCTAATGGTAGAGTCCACTGTCATTCTTTTGTCATCTCTTCACCTCCTCTTGAGAACAAAACCCAACAGTCACATCCCTTGGGCAAGTGCCTACCTTTTGTCTGATGTATATTCAGATGGCCCCCAAACCTCATGGGCAATCTTACTGATATTTCTCTCTTAGCTGAAATTACTTGGGATGGCCATGACAACAGTTTTCAAGAGCTTGGTTGTCCCCTTGCCAATGCAACAGGACCTTATGTCAGAATATCCTACACAGTGATTTCTGGCCCTTTTATAAGCAAGAACTACTTGTCATTTCTCCAAAGCTTTGAGGTCACTGGGAGGGTAAAGGGTAGACTATTGATGGCTAAGTAATTTGTCACTTTAGGACTATGGGTGGACCCCAATGGATAAAACAGTTTAGATTTGTCTAATTCTCTAAAAACTGAAATGATTTGTATCCTTTATCCATGTATCATTCATTCATCTATTATTTATTGATAGCCTTCTATGTATTAGGCTCCCTTATAGGCACTTAAGATGTATTAGTGAATGAAACAGGAAACAAAATCTCTGCTTATATTCTAGTGGGAGAAGAATACAATACACAAATAATGCATGTGATAAAAAATATATAGTATGTTAGAAGATGTTAAGTGCTATGGAAAAAAAGTAAAGGGGTCAGGAGGACTGTGACAGGGTGGGGATGAATTTGTAATTTTCAATAGGGTAGTCAAAATAGGTTTTATTGAGAAGGTAACCTATATTCAACACTTCAGAAGGTGAGCAAGTGATTCATGAAGATAAACAGAGGAAAAGCATGCCAAGCAGTGGGAACAGATAGTACAAAGGTCTGGAGGTGGGAGCTGCAATGATCCAGGTATCAAAAGGAGGCAGTCATGTCTGGGGCAAAGTGAGTAAGGGGGTAGGAAAATAGGTAAATAGGAAAAGAGGTAAAATGCATTCAGGAAAGTGGGGTCATCATGTAGGCTCTCATCAGGTTTTTATCCTGAGTGAAATGAGAAGCCATTGGAGGATTTTGAGTAGAGAAGTGATATGATTTATCGTTTTTTTTTCTCAGTAACTTAAAACAAGAACCTCATTATCTCATGCACAGTTTATGTGTGAAAAGATTTACTGCATGATCCTTAACTCTATTTTTATAGAAGTTAGTTCCTTAGTAAGTTGTGCACATGTGATTTCAAACAGCAAAAAAGTGTCAGAGTTACATTAAATCTGCAATGATAGGGTGGAAGGAGGAGGAAGAAGACAGGAAGTAGAGGCCAGTGTGAATGAAGGAACAGCCTGTACCTCCAGAGCACTATCCGTAGCATTAGCATCACAGCTCCACTTGTTGAGCGTTCTCTGGGTTACAGGCACTTCACATACGGGGCTGAGAGTCTAGTGGCAAAAGGTGAAGTGACTTCTCCAAGATCACTGTACTGGTTTTTCTATCTTTGCCTCCTTGGACTTATTCCCATCTTTCTCTGCCCTGTTCTCTGTTCCAAGAGGCTGACCTACATAGAAGGTATTACCTGGAATTCCTTCCTCTCTGATTTCTGGTTGTTTTCAGCCAATAGCAAAACAGCCTCTTCTCTTCCACAGAAGAGGTGGAAGGAGGCAAATGGGATATTTATACCTCTTGCTGTTTCTGAAGCTCCAAGCTTTGGGAATGCTCTTCCTTCCCCTTCCCGCTTTGGGTCTGGGGTACAATAGATCCTTAATGTCGTCAGTCCTTGGGTGCTTTACCATTTTTTGTTGGTTCTTTTACCTATCTTTAAATGTCTTTACATTTGTAAATAGCCATTTCTTTAAACCCACTTCAGTCACAACTTTGAGTGTGTAACTTTTGTTTCCTGCAGGGCCCTGAATGATATAGCCACATGGTGAGAAATGACTTGCCTTAAATTTGGACTCAAGTCTTTATGTTTCATGCGTTTCTCACTACATCAGGCCACATCTGTTCAAAAAGTGGGTGGGGGGTCTGAGATAGGACAAATTGTATTTCAGAAAATGAGAAGAGGAAAAATGAGCTAGATAATCACATGCAAAAGAATGAAGCTGAAACCCTACCTCATGTCATATTAAAAATTAACTCTACCTGGATTCAATCTAAATGTAAGAACTAAAATCAGAAACTTCAGAAGAAAACACAGAAGTGAATCTTCATGGCCTTAGATTAGATAGTGATTTCTTGGACATGACAGCAAAAACATAAGCAACAAAATAAAAATATACAAATTGGAATTCATAAATATTAAACATTTTTGTGCTTTAGAGGAAAACATCAAGAAAGTGGAAAGACAATCCATAGAATGGGTAAAAATTTTACAAATCATATACCAATAAGGGACTTATATCTAGAATCTATTAAAAATTACTATAATTCAATTATAAAAAGACAACCCAGTTAAATATAGGCAAATCATTTGAACAGACATTTCTCCAGAGAGTATTTACACATGACCGAAAAGCATACGGAAATGTGCTCAACATCATAATTCACCAGAGAAGTACAAATCGAAACCAATGAGTTACCACTTTGTACCCACTAGGATTCCTAGAATCAAAAAGTCAGAGAGTAGTAAGTGTTGAAAAAGATGTGGAGAAACTGGAACACTCAGCCACTGCTGGTGTGAATGTAAATGATACAGTTTCTTTGGAAACTAGTCTGGCAGATCCTCAACTAGTTAGAGTTTCCATATAAATCAGAAATACCACTCCTAAGTAGAGAATTGAAAACCTATGTCCACACAAAAACTTATACACTGTGTTCATAACAGCATTATCTGTAACAGTCCAAAAAGTGAAACAACCCACATCATATCCCCAGTACCAGGTACAGTGCCTGGCACACAGGATGTACTCAACAAGCAGAGCTCCTGTGAGAATTAGCTCAAATCGTGAAAACAATGGTTCTTTTTTTTTTTTTTTCCTAAGGGTGACTTTTGGTCCTTTGGTCTTGCTTTATGTTTTTTTAATTAATTTACTTATCTAACTGCATCAGGTCTTAGTTGCAGCATCCAGGCTTAGTTGTGGCACTGGCTCAGTAGTGCAGTGTATGGGCTTAGTGGCCTCACGGCATGTGGGATCTTAGTTCCCTGACTAGGGACTGAACACATCCCCTGGATTGGAAGGCAGATTTTTAACTACTGGACGGCTGGGGAAGTCCCAGAAAAGTGGTGAAACTATTTCTGAGTTGTGTAAACATAAATCTGATCCTGCCGCTCTTCCTTTCCTTCTCCTCACTGATTTTGAGTGGGGTGTGGCTCAAAACTGCCCTCAGAAACTTTGACTTAGTAGAAGTTAAGTCTTGATGGGGCCCAGGAATTGGTGTTTTATAACTCCAAAGGTGATTCTAAAGATCACATCCAGTTAGGGTTGACAGATTTAGCAAATAAAGATACAGGATACTTAGTTAACTAGGACGGTTTGATAAACAATGAACTATTTTTTAGCATAAGTATATCCTAGGAAATATTGATATTTTTATCTGGCAACCCTATCTCCAGCTGAAAACCACTATGTTAGAGCATTCAGAAAAGAAGGCTTGAGGATGTTGGTTTATTTACTCAAAGGTAAGAATGGTAGGGGCTTCCCTGGTGTCTCAGACAGTAAAGAATCTGCCTGCAATGCAGGAGACCCGGGTTCGATCCCTGGGTCAGGAAGATCCCCTGGACAGCGGAATGGCTACCCACTCCAGGATACTTACCTGGAGAATTCCATGAACAGATGAGCCTGGCAGGGCTACAGCCCATGGGATCACAAAGATGTGGACACAACTGAGCGACTAACACCCAAGGATGGTACCAGTGGAGTGTGGGAGGAAAAGGTCTGGTAAGTTTCATGTTGGGCAAGTAAAAGTACTATTTAAAAAAAAAAAATCATCCTTCTTATGAGTGAAATGGGACTCAGTAGATATTGCAGACATTCCCCTCCATTCTAAAAGTGAACTAAAAGTTTAACAAAGTGCTAGGAGAAATCAAGGGAAATTTTAGAACAAAACAGAGGTTTTCCTACCCTTGTTAAAAACTTACGGGTTCATGTCAAGACTGACACTGGGCTTCCCAGGTGGCACTAGCAGTAAAGAACTGCCTGCTACACACAGAGATTTAAGAGATGTGGGTTCAATTCCTGGGTCAGGAAAATTCCCTAGAGGAGGCCATGGCAATCCACTCCAGTATTCTTGCCTGGAGAATCCCATGGACGGAGGAGCCTGGAGGGCTACAGTCCATTGGATTGCAAAGAGTCAGACACAACTTAGCACAGCACAAGACTGACACAGCAAAGCTAGAGAGTCATTGATAATTAAATAGAATATAGAAACTGAAGGTCAGAACCACCTAGCATGGGAAGGTATGTTTGCTGCTGCTACTAATTATGATGCTTTAATTTAGAAGGAAAAAAAGGAAGGTGAATATGGGCCAGTCTATCAAGTCACAGATGCCAGTGTCCAACCATGAGCAGTGCTGACATCCAGCCCTCCGCTTTGTTCCCAGCTCATTCTCCACTTGTCATCCAGAAGGATCTTTTAGAAACACAAAGCTGATCCTGCCACTCTTCCCTTCCTTCTCCCCACTGCAGCCACATTGACTTTCCAGCTGCTGCTAGAACACTCAGGACGTTCTCTGGGCCTCTGCACTGGCGTCAACTCAGCCTGGCACCACTTCCTTGTGTCCACACGGCTTGTTCCCTCACCCCATTCAGGTCTCTGCCGAAAACCACTGGCAAGGAAAAGCATTTCCTCACGACTGCCCCATCACTCTCTTATACTCTACCTTGCTTTATCATTCTTCATAACCATTATAACAACCTGATAGTATATCATCTATTTATTTGTATGTAAGTCTTGTCAATTAAAATGCAAACTCCAGGCATGCAGGAATCTTATGTTTCACCACTATATCCACAGCAGCGATTAAGCAATGCTTGACATGGAGTAAATGGTCATTACATGTTTGTTAAGTGAAACAATGAATGAATGGCATTCCTTCCCAGATTAAAATTATCCAATGCATTTTCCCAATGCATTTGGAACAAAATTCAAATTCTTTGCTCTTGCATGCAAAGCCTTTAATGTTCTAGGCCCTGTCTACTTCTCCAATTCTGTTCTGTCTCATACTTCTCCCTTGCTCCTTTGTATCATCATCTTTCAGTTCCCAAATAATAGAGCCTTGATGCCTGTGCATTAGTTGACCTCTAAACCTGGGGTCCCTGTTAATCCCTCTCTTTGAATTGTGGTCTTCTTCTCATTCAGATTTCAGATCATAGATTACAGATCTCAGGTCACAGAGGCCATCCTTGACCTTCTCATACCCAACATTCTATCACTGTTTACAGTGTTCACACTCCATGAAATTACACTATTTATTTATGTGCTTCCTCTTACTGGCATCTCTCACTAGCAATAAGCTCCATGAGGGCAGGGACTTTATACACCTTGTTTGCTGCAATGTGTCTGGTGTCTAGCACATGTCTGACATATAGAAGTGACTCAATAAGCATTTTGAATAAAAGAATAAATTTGCAAAGTGGGTAGGAGAATCACAGACCTCATCAATGAAGGAAATAAATAGCAACAGTAGTTTTCAAAGAGTTTGAATTGATTTACTTTGTATTGCTATTTCTTCTTAAGGGACATGGGTGGTTTTATCATAGCCTCTTGATTATTGATTATCTTTTCTGAAGATAACACCTCAAAGAACATCCATGACCACCATAATATACTTCTAGGTATTTGTGTCAGGAACAGCATGCTGCTGACAGATCAATGTTCTGGTGCCTCAGGGCACTTACTGTATTTTCCTAAAACATTTCGCTTGTATTCATGACTGATTTTTACTTAGAAGACACTTCCAATATTTGAGCTGTAAGAATTTTTACCTCCATACCTCAGGGTATGTTATTTAATATGATGAGAATAATTAACTACATTGGAGAAAACTGCAAAATGGAATAATGTATTGGAATTGAAGAAAGTATATTAGACTCCTTGATTAAGATTAAGGGTTTGTAGCTAAAACTTTTCTAAATTATAACTTCTCCTGATTCATAATTCACATAATTAGAATTATTCCCTAGAGTTAGTTGATAATTTCCATATTTATTAAACAGTGATAAACTGAATTCCTTTTGTTTAGGATGATGCCTTTTCCTCAGTTTCTAGGTAGGAATATATGTAATTCTTGCTGTTTGTCTTACCAGTTAGCACTAGAAATGGCTGAGAGAATTGAGACCCAAGAGATAAAATAAAGCCCAAATCCTCCAGTGTCTATGGGCATAGGGTCTCATAGTACCAGGGGCTCACAAGATGAGAAGGGGGTTAAGGTAACCTCTTGGCTCAGCTGGTAAAGAATCCGCCTGCAATGCAGGAGACCTGGGTTAGATCCATGGGGTGGGAAAATCCCCTGGAGAAGGGAAAGGCTACCCACTCCAGTATTTGGGCCTAGAGAATTCCACGGACTGTATAGTCCAGGGAGTTGCAAAGAGTTGGACATGTCTGAGAGACTTTCGCTTTCATTTTGGGATAAAAAGAATAAGAAAAGCCTCAGTGACAAGCTGACTTCTCCTATCTCTTTTAATTTTATTCTCATGTGTTGTCATATGACTCAGGTGTTATAGTGTGGGGGGCTGCGTGGAGAGGGGAGCTGACCATCAGAGACAACTGTGTAATGGGACAAGGGACTTTCTCTTTCTGGAATAAACCTTACTTAGAATGTCTACTTGGAGTAATTGCAGAGAAAACCACTGTCTTATCCCATGCTGTCAAACGGGCACCAATAGATCATAAAACTCCAAGATCATGAGAGCCAAATCTGATTTTGTCTTCTCTTCAAGATGTTCCAGAACTCCAATGAGTCATGACAACTGAAGGAAAAAATATCCCTCATAGTTAATGAACCCTATATCAAGTCTTAGGACTTCCTAGGTGGTTCAGTGGTAAAGAATCTACCTGCCAATGCAGGGGATGTAAGAGACACGGGTTCAATCCCTGGGTTGGGAAGATCCCCTGGAGGAGGGCATGGCAACCCACTCCAGTATTCTTGCCTGGAGAATCCCATGGACAGAGGAGCTTGGTGGGCTACAGTCCATAGGGTCGCACAGAGTTGGCATGACTTAAGTGACTTCTCATGCACACATGCACATATCAAGTTTTTATGACCAGCTTCATAAACTGTAATTTTCACATAAGGCATGTGGCCATGTAAATAGACCTGAAGGACTGGGGGCATTTCACCCTTCCCAAAGACTGGCCAAAGTTCTTCCGTACTGATCACCAGACAATCCTAGAGCTCTGAAACACAGCTGATAATGTAGTTATCTTCAGAGTGTCAGTATCTTTATGTCATGACATAACATTATTAGAAGGGTTTTACCTGCGTGGCCATAAGGATCACAAGGAGGCTTTGAGACTCAGATATGTCCCTACCTCCTGTTGTCAGCTGGGATAAGTCACACTGGAATGAGACTATTTCCCTGGTCATCTGTCCTACTGGAAGGCAGAGACTGATTTTTGTTTGCTTTTCAACTCCAGCATCACCAGTGCTTATTCGAGTGCCTGACTAAAAGAAAGTGTGTAGAAAGTATGTGTTGAGCAAATGAATGAATTTGAAAATCAGGAACTGGGTGCAGAGAATCTTTAAGAGTTTACAATTTAATGAGTCTGAGGTAAGGTCAGGGGAAGGGAGGAATGGATACCAAAATCTTTAGGGAAACAGACAGGAGGGACCTCCATTAAATACCTGCTCTATCCATTAAATACACTTGAACTGACTGCTTCATCAAGATTTAGAGCAATCACTCTTTAATCAAAAGGGTTTAGATCTGTTTTAAGAGTTCAGTACAAGCTCTTTTACCTGAGGTTCTGAAGATTACTTTTTGTAAATAAAAGAGGTTTGTAAATCACTGTGGGGTAGGGTCAGAATTCCAGCCATTTGAGGTAGGGGGAAATTCAAGATCTCTCCCTGTCTTCATCCTAATACCCCTGAGCATTCAAGAGCAGAGGAGACTTAAAGGCTCCACTCCTACCACCTGCAAAGCGGTGGCATGGGGGTGGCGGGAAAACTGGCTACCACTCTGGACTTCCACTCAGGTCTGGGAGGTCCCCTTTGTGCTTGAGAAGATGTACTCATGTGGTCTAACGACACTCTGCCTTGAGTCAGAGTAGAAGGTTCAAGCTGAAAAAGATCATAGCCTAGTGAATTCTGAACTATTAAAAATTCTAACCAAATAGAATTGTTGGTTTAAAAAATAAAATTGTAAGCAGAACTTCAATAAACTGAAAAGATGAAAAGGACAGTGTTGAGATTGAAGGGGGAAGGGAGGAGTACCCTTTGTTTAGGTTTCTTCTCACTGCCCATCCCCGCCAGACCCTAACGTCCACCCTATCACCCTTCATTGTACAGACTTGGAGCTAGAGCCAAGGATGTAAAATGTCCAAGGTGGTCCAATTGGTCTGAAGAGAACAGCTAAGACGCCCAGGGGTCAGGCAAAAGAGCTAACCTAGAGCCTGGCAGCACCTCCCTCCCTACTCTGAACAGTAGAACTACAGGAGGGTTTTAATGTCGCCAGCATGTCATTTTTACTTCTCCCCTCAAAGAAAGAAAGCAAATCTGATAGGACTTTTTTAAAAAAACCCAGATGTCAACCTTTGTACAATGGGCACAAGACTGGAAAAGTTACATGTTAATTAAATCAGTTAAAATGAGACTGAAGTATTTTGAATGCAAATCTTCAGTCCCTAAAGTTCATATTTCCACACACTGGGTTTTCCCAAGGCAGGGACCCCCCTCATTCCCTCACCTGTTCCAGAAGACGGAGGAGTGACAGATCCTGGGCTGTCATCTTCAGGCTCTGAGACAGTGACTGTGGGGACTGTGTCAGGACTCGGTTTCAGGCAGATATCTTGCTTCTCAGGGGTTTTCTCTGGGGTAGCGGTTTCAATAGAAGGCTCGATCTCAGTCAGCGTGATTTTGACAGGGGCGGCAATCAGAGGGGCACTGCGTTGTTCTTCAGAGATGTCATCTACATATGGCGCAAATGTTGATTCTTCAAATAAATGGTCCTTGAGGATTTTCCCCTCCACAGGAACTGGTTTCTCAGCCTCACGGGTCTCTTCAGACCTTATTGAGATTTCAGTGTCCTTATTCTTAAAGTCCAAGTCTTTCTCTTCCAACTTGGGGTGACATTGCTCCTGATATTTCACCTCCTCTGGCCTAGTTATGTCAATGTATTTATAGGCTTCTGCTTTCATCTGGTCCAGGGGGTCTGCTAAGATCTTGTTCACTTCAGCTGACTCTGCTGGAGTCATTTCTATTCCAGAATCAGAACTAAATAAGCCACGAGGCTCTGTCCCAGGCACATCTGGTAAGGAGGGTCCGGGGGAACGCAACTCCTCGGGGCTCTCTGAAGCAGTGATGTGGCCGTTTTCTTTCTGAAGAATTCCAGTGAAATACGTAGCATCCTCCCGAGGTGGGTAATAGATGTCAGAAATCAGAGATGTATAGCACACTCCTTCCCCATCCTTTGCCACTGTTGAAAAGGTATGATCTGTGGCCCTGGAGACATCCGATGCACCTGTGAATCAACACAGCAGTAGAGAGTGAGGGGTGCCCGGCTTCATGTCTCCACCTGCCTAACCCACCACCCACCCTGGCCTGTGCAGGCACAGCACCCTTTCTCCTCAAGACCTCAGAGTTCCCTCAGACCACTCTCGTGTTTTTCCTTGTCTCCAGGATAGCCCCCAGCACTGGCATTTTTCTGGTAGCAGACTGCATGAGCTGCCACATCCAGAGAAGTTGGAGACAGACCCCAGAGAACTAGAAAGTTGATTCTCAAAATCTACTACTTTAATATGCAGTAATACTTGGTATTAGTCAACAGAACCCATCTTTGTATCTAAGGCACTACTGACTCTTTAAACAGATGTGGAAATATAAGTTAATTCAGGTTTGTAAATATAACAATAGGATAGTCCACTGGGGAGAAGGGCTGCTCAGTGAGCTTGGAGAAGGCTCAAGAACTCTCTGGTCCAGTCCTTTCATTCAGGGACTCCTGCTCTACCAGGATTGATGCCATCTCTTCTCTTGTTAAAGGTACTCAGAGAAAGAAACTCCTAGTTTTCTGGTGGCCTCCTCCCAAAGTGGTATCACCTTAACAAAGTGCTTCCCTTCTTCTCCGGTTTTTCCCTCATTTTGTTTTTCTCCTCAGCTACCCACCAATAACTGAGGTTATTTGCCTTCCAGTATGTCCAAAATGCCCCACTGAGAATTTCTTGGTTCTACTGGTGGTTCCAAGGGCAAAGCAAAAGTTTCCAAGGTTGAGTCTACAGAATGTTTTCACCTGGCCTTCATTTTATTTATAAACCAGTCAAAATATTCATTAATAGCAAGGAGAAGAAAGAAACGCTTTATTATTTTTCTGTGCTGTAAAATACTGTCAGAGGGGAAGAAAGCAACATTTATTGAGAACTTGTCACTTAAGGATTTTACCTGATTCTTTAATGTTCTAAATTAAGCCCCACACTCTCAAGAGATCACACATACACACACATTCAACCCTTAAGACATACTTAAAGAACATTACAGATTAGGGCACCAACTCATAAAAGCAGTAACAGTAACTATTAGCAGTAACAGTCGTAGTAATATTACTAACTAATACTTGCTATGTGTCAGACAGTGCCAAGCTTTCATTAATATTGACTCATTTAGTCATCAGAGCAACCCTAGAGGATAGGTACCATAATTAGCCTCATTTTACAGATGAGGAAACTGAAGGGCTGAATAACACACCAAAGCCCACAGAGGCAGGCAGTGGCAGAGACAGGGTTCAAACCCAAGCAGCCTAAAGTCAGAAAACCTCCCCTAGCCCCCTTGTACTTCCTTAAATGTTTGTGAAGTTTTTCCTTTTTAAGTAATTTTGAATCAGTTCTATTACAAATACACGTAGCAATTTTCTTTTCCAAGCTATCTTCTTGGTTATATGAGCACGGTTAGTCTAAGGGAAATGGAAAAGCACAGAGCCTCTTTGCTTCCAGCACTCTCCTGCCTCAATACCATTGCAAGAGCAGCTTTCTTTTCTTGCAGTTCTCTTAATCCAGGTACCTATGTACCTAAACCCTTCATTGCTGAGTCTTCACTCAAATGTCACCTTCTTAAGGAAGGCAGATTTGACCACTCTGTCTCAGGTTGCAATCCCCTACACACCCTAGCAGCCCTGTCCCTCCCTACTTTTCTCTTTATTTTTCCTTAACACTTGTCTCTTCCTAATAAATCACATAATTACCTTATTTGTTCATTACTTATTTAATGATTGTCCCCCCTCTTTTGCTAGATATACTCCACGAGGGCAGGAATCTTTGACCATTTTGTTCACTAAGGTAGCCCAAAATCTAGAACAGGTCCTGGCACATAGTAGGTACTTAATAAATATTTGAAAAATTAAAGAAAGTATCTTTAAAGTTTAGAATAAAGCATAAATAACAGAATGTGACAAGACACATGGGAACATTCCCCTACATTGCTAACGACATTCACTTTATTCAACAAGTAGCCTAATTTTGTGAGCAAAAGACCAGTTTAAATCTGTTCATTTCAGATAGTCTTCTAGATATACTTCCTTCACCCCTGCTTTTCCAGTTAGATAAAAACAAACTCAGTAACAAAAGGAATGGTAATAATGACAAGTCTTATTCCCTACCACACACATAGAACACTAAAGAAAAAGCTAGTAAATTTAAATCTATGTGTGCACACGCACACCTTTATCCTAAAGGATATTTAAAGCTTCTTTTGTGATATGGGCTTAGCCTATATGTAGACTTGGATCAGCCTTGTCTAACTCAATGAAACTGAGCCATGCTATCTACATAGGGCTACCCAAGACAGACAGGTCATGGCGGAGAGTTCTGACAAAACGTGATCTACTGGAGAAGGGAGTGGCAAAACACATCAGCATTTTTGCCTTGAGAAGGCAAGATGAGGAAGTGGTTTGCCTTCTCAAGGCAAGAAAACTGAAGTGGTTTGCATTCCCTTCTCCAGTGGACCACGTATTGTCAGAACTCTGTCCATATAGTCAAAGCTGTGGTTTTTCCAGTGGTCATGTATGAATGTGAGAGTTGGACCATAAAGAAAGCTGAGCACTGAAAAATTGATGATTTTGAACTGTGGTATTGGAGAAAACTCTTGAGAGTCCCTTGGACTGAAAGGAGATCAAACCAGTCAATCCTAAAGGAAATCAGTCCTGAATATTCATTGGAAGGACTGATGCTGAAGCTGAAACTCCAATACTTTGGCCACCTGATGTGAAGAACTGACTCACTGGAAAAGACTCTGATGCTGGGAAAGATTGACGGCAGGAGGAGAAGGGGATGACAGAGGATGAGATGGTTGGATGGCATCACCAACTCGATGGATATGAGTTTAAGAAAGCTCCGGGAGTTGCTGATGGGATTGGGAGGCCTGGCGTGTTGCAGTCCGTGTGGTTGCAAACAGTCAGACATGACTGAGCAACTGAACTGAACTGAACTGATAATGTAGACCACATTAGAGGCAGGGAAATAAATTCTCAGCTATTTCACAGCAGACATTTGGATCCTGAGATTCTCTACCACAATTACCTGGAAAGCTTCCATGTGTTAATAAGCCATTGTTCACCAGAAAGTAAGGAGGGGTTTGCTGCTAGATGTAAATAGTCTGGATGTGTGGGGAAGTGGGGAGAAGATACTCTCCAGGGGAAGACACAGTAGATAGCTTCCAGGGCTGTCAAAGTCATTACAATCCAACTCTCCGTCAGTACTTCTATTGCAGGGGCTACCACATGGCTTCTGACCCTTACCACCCGTATCTGGCATGTTACACAGCCCTCTAGCCCACTGTCTTCTGCCACCAGTCATCACACTAAACACAACGGTCACCTGTTTAGCAACTGGCCCCAGGGCTCTGCTTTGCCTCACTGGATAATCCTTGAACCCTGCAGCCTGTCATTTAAGATGATGTGAATGCCACCTGGCCTCACAGCTCTGTCTCCACTATTCTTACCCTTCACTCTAGGCATACAAAGCCCTTCACTATCTCACGCCATTCTACCAGCCTTTTTAGCCCTGTCTTACACTCTCCAATTCAAATGCTGAGCTCTGGTTAATACAAACTATCCACGACTTCTCCGACACCTAATATTTACAATCTATCTCCACATCCAAATATCCACCTTTTAACCTCAAGCCATGGGCTTCCTTGGTGGCTCAGTCAGTAAAGACTCTGCCTGCAATGCAGGAAGACCCAGGTTCAATCCCTGGGTCAGGAATATCCCCTGAGAAGGGAATGGCTACCCACTCCAGTGTTCTTGTCTGGGAAATCCCATGGACAGAGGTGCATGGGGTTGCAAGAGTCAAACATGACTTAGCTACTAAACCATCACCAAAACGAGTTTGCCGACCACATCTGTCAAGACCTGACCCCTTCCTAATGTTCTCCCTTTCCTTTCCCATAGCACTTAATTATACTGCTTGTGTCATATGTACGATACATGACTTTGATATGTCTATGGTAACCTGTCAGCTCCTAGAGTTTGAGACTCATGTTCTTGTACAATATATTGTTCATAGTAGGCACCCCAAAAAATGAATAAATGAATGGACCAATTAGTCAATCAATCAATGAGTAGACGTTCTATGCAACTACTCAGAACAAACTAAGACTAATTGATGAGAAGTTACAAAGAGGATGTTTTTAATCTCTTATGTGAAAGAACTGTCTAGAATTCAAGTTATCCAACAATGGGCTGGAGCTGCATTTCGGGAACAAGACTATTATGATCCCAGTGGCAGGCAGATGGAAAGAGGCCCAGCATCCATCTAGGCAGGAACCAGCATTTGATGGAAAGTTGGATAGGACAACAGCAGAAGACTCTTCCAACTGTCTATGATTTTTATACTAATTGGCTTCACCATAGTGGGACACAACTTCCTTTATTTCTTCTTTACCTGTAGAGCAGAATCAATATAATTTTCCTGAAGGTGATGCCACAGAGAATAGGGGCTTCCCAGATATACAGTAATAACTGGGGGGATAAACTCTGGATCACATCAACATTACTAGAGAGACTATAAATAGAATCAATAATCGGGAAGAACTCCCACTCCTGAAATCCTCATCTTACTAGCTTCCTCTTGCCCAGAAAACTCAGCATAAAATTGAAAGGATGTCACATTCTACAAATACTACCAAATAGAGGAAGAGGGACAAAATCATTTGTGTAAATCACACATTTTAAATGGGACCATGTCAAAACCCTCATAAAATCAACAAATAATATAAATACTTTGAATGTGGTCATGTCCTACCTCTTGTCCTATTTAAATTGAGCTAAATATCCTAAAAGATTCTCAAGGTTCAAAGAATTTGAAAATGTGTATACATTACATAGGGCCTATTAGATAGAACTCGAGAAAATAGAAAGTCCCTCTAGACAGTAAATTATGTGAGAGCAGAGTCCTGAGGGATCCTTGGAACCGGGAAGCAAAGCTGAGCCTCAAGGCTCAGGAAAGCCAATTAATCCTTGTCAGCGCTTCCTGC